TCACGTACCTTTACAAGCACTGGCAGTATGCTGGTTTTGGCGACTGGGAGTATGGGAAACACGAAGTCGTAAAACAATGATTTATTATGTGAGTAATCGTACCTACAATGAATGGTAGGGCGAATTTTTTTGAGACCTAATACCAAACACAGCCTTCAGAACTTCACCTTCGCTAACTCCCACATTTTAAAATCCTTTTCAATATTACTCTGAGTCCAACAGGTTCCCGAGGTTTGAGGAGCAGTATTAGTTCTACCAGAAAAGGAGAAATATTCATTTAAAACATTAGCATCTAAGTCACAGTCTAGTTTCCAACTGCCATGGACCTTTAGATTTTTTAATTTGCGCCAACAAACTTTAGGCGGAATTGATGCATCCAGCTTACAATATTTACGCTTTGCTTGTCTTATGATAGCAGTGGCTGTATTGCAAGCACTTTTATACTGAGACCAGAGATTGGCAAACGATGCTGTTTTTGTGATTTTAAGCCTGCTCACATTAAAAACGGGGGATGAACGAACACCAGCGCATAGCGTGCAGTGCTTGCAAATACAGCCACCGCAAGTGAACGATACTTATAACAGCTCATACTGATGTTGACTTCGGCAAACCAGTATTCCGAGTGAACGAAAGCACGATACTGCATTTGGACGGTTGCCGAACAGGGATCTAAATAGATCCAATTGGATACATTGTTAGACGAATTTTTGCGGGATACTTATTTTTTCCGGTCAGTATAAATGTGGATACTTTTTTAAATAGGCCAAAATTTTATATTTCCTTTAAAGTTTTTTTTCGTTCAAAAATCGATTTTCAGTAAAGATGGTAGAAAGCATTACGTTTTCTAAACGTATGAAGAATCGCTACTTAAGCGTGAAATTAAAGCATTTGATTTTTTGTGAACGAAGCAATGAACATATGAAGAGATCTCACCAAAATAGGTATAAGCGCAATTGTGTTAATTAGCTTAAAAGGTTGCTTTAAGCAAGATCTTAATATAGGTACATATCGTCGTTTAGAGTACAAACCGCGTATCAACAAAATGCAAAACCGCGTATGTGACGTTGCATAAATTATTTTCTAAAGAGTAAAAACACTTATGTTTTAAAATGGTTCCCTTTTTTCAATGCAATCGCATTTCTGGCTAGTATATTTCAGGACGAATGGATCAGGATTGAGCCAAGAGCTTGTGTGAGCAAACCAATTTTTGGTAGCAAATGTCAGTTACGCGGTTTTGCAGAATGACGATACACGGTTTTGTACTTTAAACGACGATATATATAAAGTAAATTATACTCTTTCTGTAGTAATCTCTTTCATATCATATATTTTCATTTGTTAATTTAAAAAGAAAGAAAATTTCATTGTAGTTTAAAAAACTAAATTTGATTTATTTAAGGAAACTTGTATGAATTTTACTGAAAAGACTTTAAATCTTCTTCTTCTTATTTGGCGCTGTAACCGCCTAAGCGATTTTGGCCGAGTCCAAAACAGCACGCCAGTCATATCTCTTCTGTGCTAACTGACGCCAATTGAAAATGCCAAGTGAAGCCAAGTCCTCTCCACCTGGTCTTTCCAACGCAGAGGAGTCCTTCCTCTTCCTCTGTTACCAGCATCGCGGCCCGCGTTGAATATTTTCAGAGCAGATATTTTGCGATATTTTGACCAGTTTTGGCTATTTATTTTTTGTTTGTTTATT